TCTGCGCTGGGCTGGCGGGGGCGGGCCGGGCCGGGGGCTGCTACCTCACCTCGGTCGGCTCCGGCCGGCGCGCGGGCGTCCGCGCTTTACGGCCACTGCGCGACTGCAGCCTGCGCTTACGTCACCGCCCCCGGGCCAATCCCGCAGCGACTCATCGCCGCCGCGCGCGGTTCAGGGGTGGAGCTGGGGGCGAGCGCCGTTTCTGCGCGTGCGCCGGGCCGCGCCCCGCCCCTTCGCCGAGACCGGGGAGAGCTGCAGCTGGCGCCCGGGCTGGTTTCTGCTGAGGCCGTTGGCTGGCGGCCAAACAAAAACCGTCAGCTACTTCAGTGCGGGCGTAGCTGTAAAGAAACATGCTCTTAATGCAGATGTGTAAGGGGCCTTTCTAATTTAAAGATTTAAATAATAAACGTTGAAGGGGCCATTACTTCACAGCCTGTAAGAAGGCACTCAAGCCTAGCAGGGTGCCTCGGCTTCAGTCGCCACCTGAATGGAAGTCAGATTTCTCGATGACTCAATACTCTTTGAGCCAGAAAGACAAAAGCAGTTTGATCAACCGTTACTTCTCTGGGTGGGAGACATCCTGCTCATCTGGAGGAACAGCCATGAAAGTCTCCATTGCAGTATCTTGCAACCCATGTTTGCTTCTGGTTTCACCCAAAATTAACATGTCATCAACCCCCAACTACCCTCTGGATCTACTCCTTACCCCTCAGAAAGTCAGCCACGTTGCTGTAAATCTTGGCCTCTCCCGTCGGTTCTGAAACAGAAAAAGAACAAAACAACACAAATGGATGCTTATCTTTTCCCAGGAACCACCAGAGTAGGTTTGCACTCTTCAGGAGACAAGGTCAACAGGCAGGACCCCTTTTCTGGCAAGAAAGCATGTATGGGAGGGTTGCTCCCAGCCTACCTAAACAGCTCACATCTTCGGAACAGGCATAATCGTATGGAGAAAACATTGGCACAGAAAGACATCCGGTAAGATTAGCTGAAGCAGTGTGGATAATTGCCAGTACAGGTCCTGACCATCAAGAAATCTATGACCAATTTCCCATCCTTCACCACCTGGGGAAAAACAACTGGAAGCAGACAGGAGAGACTCCTGATGAGTGGTGCCCCAGGAAGAACCACCCCTTAAGAAATAAGCAAACATGGCCCCACAAATTGTTCCCTATGGCAGGTACAGCAGATGGGGTAGAAAGGACCTTTTACCTTTCCCTGTCCTGGAAGGCCTGAACAGAAGAACCTACCATTGTAGGAGCTGGAAGAAAAATCAGATCACTTGATGGCATGGGCAACTGGTGCCTCCTGATCCTGGGGGGGCACCAAGCGGCTGATCACCAACTGAGGGGTGGGGGAGACCAGAAGTGTCCCCCATGCCTCCCCTATGCATCACCTATGCTTGATGGGACATGGAGATATGCTAGGGAGTCCACCACTTTATCTTACCATGTCAAGAGTTTAACAATGGATGCTTGTTTCACTGCTGTCATTTCAGTCAACCTCTGCACCAAGTGGAGCTCCCACAGCATTGAGATCCCAAGGCACAGCCTGAGTGGCCCACCCCAGGAAACAACCAACAAGGAGGAGATGCTGCCAGACTCTGTAGCATCATTGGAGGGGAGGCTGTCAATGGTGATGAGTGGAAGGCCAGGATGGAGTTTCACCAGGACTAGTGCCCTGCAACCAGGTATTTCCCAGGCCAGAGAGGATGCTGAGGCTACTGAGGTGGCAGTGGGCATGGTGAGGCAGATCACTGGGAAGCTTACGGAGAGCCTCCAGATGGAAAGTGATATACTATACACTGTGGTAGTCACACTCATCAGGCAGAAAAACCAAAAGAAGGAACTCAGTGTTGCTTCCTCTTAGCTACATCCTTTAGCTGAAGCCTCAGTTATACCCTCCCCAAGTACCTAGGTCATCAGTATACTTTCAGGGTACTAGCAGCACCTTCCATCAGTGCAGGAGCAGGCAATTATTTTGGATGGAGGGCCACTTACTGAGTTTTTGCAAGCTGTTGAGGAGCGCATGGGTAGTCCCACCCCTTGATGGGGGCCGGCCCGTCCCCTGGTCGCCATCTTGTGACTGAAGTCCCACCCCCTGACCTTTGCCATCAGAAGTCCCTCCCCTTGCTCCCAGAACTACAGGCATACCTCGGAGATATTGCGGGTTCGGTTCCAGACCACCGCAATAAAGCGAATATCGCAGTAAAGCAAGTCACACGTTCTCTTGCTATTTCCACCACATCTGCAGTTACTTCCTCCACTGAAGTCTTGAACCCCTCAAAGTCATCCATGAGGGTTGGAATCAACTTCTTCCAAACTCCTGTTAATGTTGATATTTTGACCTCCTCCCATGAATCACAAATGTTCTTAATGGCATCTAGAATGGTGAATTCTTTCCAGAAGGCTTTCAATTTACTTTGCCCAGATCCATCAGAGGAATCACTATCTATGGCAGCTATAGCCTTACGAAATGTATTTCTTAAATAATAAGACTTGAAAGTCGAAATTACTCCTTGATCCATGGGCTGCAGAATGGATGTTGTGTTAGCAGGCATGAAAACAACATTAATCTCGTTGTACATCTCCATCAGAGCTCTTGGGTGACCAGGTGCATTGTCAATGAGCAGTAATATTTTGAA